GAGCTCCGTTGTAATTCCATCCTCTCCGGGGGCTTTTCCATTTTTAAGCTGCTTCAAAGCCAACGCAATCTCGTCTTGGCTGATCTCTGGCATGTCTTCGGTAAAGTGGCGGATAAGTGTGGCCCTAGGATCCCCCGAGTCTCGATATGGACGCGGTGCTTTTGAGGTGTACAGATCACCGTAGAAGCGCCGAACCTCCTCGAGAATTTCCGGCTTAGAAGAGACGATATTACCATCCGGTGTGGTCAACTTCGTCAGATGGCTTCGATTTAATTGCTGGCTGAAGACTTTTGACCCCCGGTTTCGCTCAATCGCTTCTTTTATAGCGCGAGTATTGGCGCTTCGGAGATCACGTCTTATCAGCTTTGAGATCTTTTTATTAAGATCTGACGAAGCGACTGATGGGTTGTTACGTCGCCTCTCCATAACCTGTAGGCATCATAATTTAAATATTTGCAAATGTGAATCATTTTTGACATGTCGCACGAAAGTTAAATTATGTTCAGCAGAAAACAATAATGTCACCATCTTTTAACATCAGACTAGCTGAGCAAGCAAAACCTTCATACATTTAATTTAGTCAGCAAACTGTTCTGAAAACTCCTTCTTCAGTACAAAATTGTGCCTATTAACAAAGACTTTCCGACAATCAAGTACAATTCTATTTTCACATATGCGACCTTCTTTCAAAACGACTACGTATGTAGGTAACTCAATTTAGCGCAAACATTTTTCCTCCTCTTCATTAGAATTTAGCGACGCGACGTTTAAATAGGTCTGTATCCAGGTGCTCGACGTGTCTCTTATAAATTCATGCTTGCCTGGTACCCGTCATCAAATTCTGTAGACTTTATGACGCAAATGAAAAGTTAATACGCCTGTTAGTTCATACAGTAGCAAGTAGTTAAGGAAATACGTGCGATTTTTTATTTTTTTCGTTAGTAAATACTTTTTTTTATGTGATATGTCGGCAAACGAGCAGACGGATTACCTGATGGTAAGCAATCAGCGCCGCCCATGGACACCCGCAACGGAGGAGTTACGAGTGCGGTGCCGACCTTTTAGGGATTAGGGATTTGGAGATTTAGGGATTGAGGAGGGATTGGGGGAGGGGAAGGATTGGGCCTCCGGTAACCTCACTCACACGGCGAAACGCAACGATGTGGTTACTTCATGCCGGTTTTCTGTGAGGCCAACAATGGAACAATGAAACAATGAATTTATTTTTGCAAATAGGCCTTAAAACGGCACTTTTACACGTCAAATTATATGTGAAAAACTAGATGAAGGCCGTGGTATCACTCCGGTCGAGCCGACCCATTCGTGCCGAAGCATGGCTCTCCCACACTTAATACTACGTAACAATACTACTATTCATTAATGTAATGTACTTACATGTATCATACAACGAAGGAATAATTTTTCACCACCCAAGGTACACCGGTAGATGTCCGCCATTGTACATACAAGTAGAGTAAAAAGTAACCAACATTAACATTCAATGAATCCGATTGCAAAATTGAATTTCATTTTCAGCTCCACCCCAATGACATGCCGCGGTCTATTTCGGAGAAGGGGTTGGAATGGGGAAGTTTTAGTTAGTCAGGCAAAATCTGGCAGTCTCTTTTTGCCTCATTCAGAACGGGAGAACAGCTCCAACTATTTACACCCCGCAAACAAATACGCATTTATAACACATTTTTTCTGTTTTAAAATTGGTAAGTTTGAATTGAATTGTTAAAACTTAACTACCGGATTAAGTTTCTGTTAATAATATAACGGCCAACCAAAATCCACTTCAATTCATAATCCATCATCCTGAACGCACTCAAAGTTTTCTACCAAAATGTTTACTAAGAAAAACTCACAGACGCGATATTAAAGCTACATCAGTACTAGAATACCGAAATATACATCAAGACAGCATATGGAGCAAACCCTTCATGTCTTCAATACATCATCATCTATTTTAATAACTAAGTATCTCAAGTTACAGAAGCTGGAGTTCCAAGGGCAACTAACATTATTATTCGAGATTGGATCCTTGGACCCTTGTTGTGGTATATTTAGACACTAAAGAATTATTACTTATTATACCAGAATTTATTTAGAACCCATATAATTTTATTATAAAACTAGCCGCTCGCCCCTGCTTCACACGGGTCTCATCATCTCGCTTACGATGAAAGACATACAACTCTCCCCTCTACTTTTCTAAAATTTTCTTTCATAAAAACCTTCACATAAAATAAGGAACATAACAAAAAAAGAATTAGCAAAATTGGTCCAGGCGTTGTTGAGTTATGCGCTTACCAACACATTTTGATGAAATTACTTATCATATCCACCAAGAAGTTTTCGCGTTTTTCACGTTAGTATTCCGTCGAGCGTTGTGACATTTCTGTTATTATATTTACAACGTGATGGGATAGATAACGAGGTCTTTTTTCAAATTTTCCATTTCACCAACTCACATGTTGTGACGTAGGGTGAGATGAGGTGAGACGGTTGAGACAACCAGTGAGAACTGACACAAATAATAGGGTGTAAATAAATATATTTGTGCTATTTTACGAACTTGACAATTCTTTGGTTTCTTTTCTTTTTTTAAAAAAAAAACGGTGCCCCACTTTAGGATTTTCTCCTGTGTTGTGGGTGCGTTTACAAACATACAATGTCACATACACATGACACCCAGACCCGAAACAACAATTTGTGGATCACAATGTGTTCACAAGTGTTGTTCCGTGCGGGAATCGAACCCGCGACACGTTGCTCGGCAGCCAGTTGCCCAGCCACCGCACCAACCGTACAATCAAATACATACAATTATTATTTTATTAATAGTATGTATTTGACAAAAATATTATGTTTTATAGTCACATATATAATATAATATGTATACTTATGATTTTTGGGGTTTTTTTAGCATTATCCTTTTATGTTATTTTTTCCTCGTGAGAACTTAACGACATTTATTAATTTATTTCTATTATAAAACAATTTTGACAAATTATTATTTCAAAACGTCATCTTTTTAAAACAATTATACACGCATCGTAGATGACATCTTAAAAAAAAACTATATTTTGTTTTGAGTATTTGTTGTGATAGACTAGGTGAATAACAGACGGTCAGTTAAGTTTTAGTAATGGCGTTCCAGTTTTTACCCTTCAACCTTTAAAAACAAATAAAATGTAGTATTCTTTTTAAACATTTTAGTTACTTAGATTTGCATTATTTTCTAATAAGAAAATCTTATCTACTTAAGTTTCACAATAAGAACTAAATAAAATAAATATTTTTTTTTATTCAAAAAACAGAGCCATTATAAAAAGGACAGTCACAAACAAAAACCCATCTTACCCTTTAAATATCAAAGTTTATTTTCGTTTTGAAATCACCACAAATCTTATATCATGTTAAGCATGAATTTTCCAGTTTATCGCTTGAGCAAACACTTATATGTGTGTGTGTGTGACGAAGTCCTTTCTCTTTTAAGCATTAGACACATCGCATTGAAATAAGCGAAGCGTGTTTTGCTTGTGTGTGCTTTGTGTACCCGCCTTTAGATTATTATCAATGTTCACTTGAGTTTGATGAAGGCCTTCGCATTTTCATTTCATTACTGTTTGATGTAACGATGACGAATCCATATGTTCAACTGCTTTAAGAGTTTCGTTTATCGACTGTGAAGTAATTGATGTTAATATCCTGTTTATAAACAAGTAGAATGGATTTTTTTCACACTTTTATTCTTGCTGTAGATGTGTAAACGGGCTACACTTAAGTGTGGAGCTACGGGCTAAAATGGACGGCTCGACCGGTATGATATCACGGCCTCACAGAACACCGGCGTGAAACAACGATAACGTTGTGTGTCGCTTTATGAGTGATGTTATCGGAGGCCTAATATTGTTTTTACTTACCATCAGGCTTATTCGTTTGCCATTCTATCACATAAAAAAAATAATGTAAACATATACCTACCTACATAAATTATAACTTACCAATCTGCTTTTTTCGGACAACTATGAGTAATTTCAATAGTTTTATATGCCTACCCAAATGCATACTAAATCTGTGCCAAAAACAAACAGGATGAAGAAATTATTTACTAATTAGCCTTATCCTTATCAAATTAAATCCTTGTTTAGATCATCAAAGCAATAAATACTTTATCACTGTTTCCGATGGTGTAAGGAGATAACGCCTCGTGTGACTAATAGCTGGATATAAAGGAAGTAAGTTAAATTATTATGCCTTTTTAGTTACCTATAATTGCATCCTGTCTACTTATGACTCATTCAATGTTAAATTAGGTTAAGGCGGAAAAAATAAATCCTTTTTGACTCATTATTGGAAACAATCTTTTGGAAATACTTTTGTTGTTTTTAGTTAAAAAAATAGATAAAGGTTTTATATGCGATAGGTCGGCAAACAAGCATTAACTGATGGTAAATCGGGCGCCCATAGCAACCCGCAACACCAGTGGTGTTACGAGTGCGTTGTCGGCCTTTTGGGGATCTAAAAGATGAGGCCATCGGTAACCTCACTCTGTAACACAACTCGTTTTTCTGTGAGGCCGTGGTATCCGATTGGTCGAGCTGGCCTATCCGTACCAAAACTTAGCTCTTCCACACTATACACGTAATGTACAATAATGTACATTTTTCTGTTGATAATTTTAAAGTAGGTAATATTAAAAAAAAATTAATTTTAACGATGACACGAAATTTCAGAAATTTTAGGCAAATTACAATTTCAGCTATCGTGCCCAAATCGTTGATCAAGCCCTATACCTATTTTGGTAATCACACTGGCAAACACTCGACTAATACGGCACCGTGATTATCAATACCCATTATCATAAAATATTTCAATATAAGGCACAACCATATCACATATCTGATAAACCAAAGCAAAAAAACAAAAAAAAACGTCAGTACGATACAAATATCGAAAGAGAAAACTTGTTATAAAAATACAAAAAAAAATTGTGTGAACAGCGCTAATCGTGAAAAAATTAAAATATAAACAAAAATGAGTGTAATCTGTAGTATTAATTTGAATAAACCACCAGAAGCCATTTACTTACCTGGAGAAACAATCTCAGGAATTATCAAATACACATTAAGAGAACCAATGGAAACTGAGAAAATAATAATCTCATTAAAAGGTATGGGCTACTTGAAGTTAATTTATAGAAGTAATACCAACAACAATACTAGAAACAAAATCTACGTAACAGATGAAGTTTACGTGGACAATGACGCTATAATCCATGAAGGGAATTGGACTGTACCACCGGGAGATTACGAAGCAAGATTCTCCTTTCAATTACCACAAAATATACCACCATCATTAACCTACTCGGTTAGAAGACCTTATACCGTGTACAGCTACATCAAGTACTACGTACGCATAAAATTCCAAAGATCAGGCTTATTTTCTTCGTCTAAACATTTTAGGAAAAAGATCATTGTAGCTTCAAGCGTGACCCCAAGATTACCAATGGAACCTTACGTGTATACAAAGAGCCATAATTTGTTCAATCTCTTCTCGAGCAAAACAAGAACGGTACATTTGAAAGGAAATATCCTCACCTCTGTCATTCCAAACGGGGGCAAAATCCAAATACAGTGCGACATACATAACGATACGAACCTCGATTTGGACAGGGTTGAGATAAATCTGACTCAAGTTTATAAATTTAAGATACTTAATTATAGAGAGATCCCGTTCTATGACGATGTGCCTCCTTGTTATAACAAAACGCAAGTTATAGAACGTGGGGCTAAACATAAAGTTCTTTTTGAATTCAATGTTCCATTCGGTTGCGTGTCGTTAGAAAATTCGAATTTATTGTCAAGAGAATACATAGTGACTATAATGGCTAAACTGCCAATGCCTCACAGGAATGTTAAATTATTAATTCCAGTGCAGATTGGTGATAATATGGTTATCCATCACCAGGAGATAGGTGAGGCTCCTCAAACTTACTGGGAAGCTATGGGAGAAGGTGAAAAAGATGATGATGATGAACATGAAAAGGAATGACAATTTTCACCTATCTTAACGAGGAATTATGTCTGTCATCTACGCAGTGGTGCTTATCAACGATATATTGAAATGAAAAGGGCATCTGTATGAAATACCAGATAACACAGACAACACCACGGCTGAATTCATCAAAATGAAAAAAAAAAACATATTTGAAGATATCCGAAAACAAAAGGAATTATGAAATTATTTATAACCACATCTATGAACACTTTTTTCTTTCATAAATCGATAAAATTATTCTGTGTTTTTTTTTTTCATATTTTATTAAATGTACTGAAACTATTTGTACCTTGTTTAATTTTAATTATAGCATAACATTATCACTTTATGCTTGCCCACTTCTGAGCAAACGCCTCACTGAGGTTTGAGCACTAATCACCCCCCTTGCACGAGATGCAAGTTTAAGCTCAGGTTGCCTCACGATATTTAGTGTCAAAATAATCTTATAAAATACAAATGCCCTAAAGCATGAAAAAACCTAGTCACCACTACTTTTGTTATGCATACATATATTATAATTACTACAAGGTATGTACTATTTTTATCTTTTAAATATAACGTTGATAGACGCTAGGATTTTTTCCTGTGTCGTAAGTGCGTGCGTTACACCTTGTGCGGCAGCCAGTTGCCCAGCCACCGCACCATCCATGCATTACCTATAGTTATTATTTAACTTTTTTTTTTAAATACACATAACACCTAGGCCCGGAACAACTATTTGTGGATCACACAAAGAGTTGTTCCGTGCGTTAGTCGAACCAGCAACACCTTGTGCGGCAGTCAGTAGCCCAGCCACCGCACCAACCGTGTAATCTAAACTATGTACATAATTATAATAACTGTCACACAAACATGTATAATAGGAAAATCGACCATTTTTATCGTTAAGGACAATAATTTAGTTTCTGATATTACGTATTTCCTCATCAATCGACATTTAATTTTTAACATGTTTAGAAATGTTTGTACTTAACATTATTATTATTACTTGTTTAATCTCCAATGACGTTACTTCGAATTCAGGTTTTGATGATTTTTTTGCTATAGGTCGGCAAACGAGCAGACTTATTACTGATTATTGGTGATAAGCAATCAGCGCCGCCCACAGACACTCGCAATACCAAAGAAATTACTACAAGTGCATTTTTGTCAAGATGACTCGGTACGGACGGTTGCTCTTGTATTACATATCATATGGCTCTTCAGCGACGAGCGAGCTCTTTAGTGGAGGCCTGACTTTAAAGCCTCGAACACAAGCGAAAAGTTGCAAGCAAGCCTTTCGGTATTTTTACCGTTCGGAGAATGTTCGAGGGGAGCTACACGACTTGATTCCCCCTAGTCTTTTCCACTATCGTACCATCAGACAATCGAAAAAATGCACCACCTAACCCGCATTCCAAATAGCAGTGCTAGATAGTACATAACTGCTTTAGTTCTGCACGATCTTCAGCTTACACCTTCGAAGAAATAATTAATATCATTTCAGCTAGTCTTAAAAAACCTAATCTAAGTCTATTTGCAAATATGTGATGTAGGTACAAGTCTATTAATATACTTAGTCGGGTCATAAGTTCTGTCAAAACCTTATATTTTTAATTTTCGATTACTGGCCAGAAATTCTTCGACTTATTTTAAAAATAGAACTTTCGCGCTTGTAGAAAATAAAAAAGAAATTATTTTTTATTCATTTTTAAATATGGAGTGGTCGAATAAAGAAGACAGAATCGCGGTTATCGCGTTGCACCGCTGTGGTTACGCGCCAAAAGACATTTTCAATATTCTTCAAAATTTGAAAATAACGTTACGGTTTGTTTATCGTACTATCAAACGATACACCGAAGAGTCAAGCTTCGAAGATCGTAAGAGAAGCGGCCGACCTCGCACAGTTCGGACACATAAGGTCATCAAAGCAGTGAAGGCGCGAATCGAACGAAATCCCGTACGTAAACAAAAAATCCTAGCTCTGCAGATGGGGCTAAGCAGAACCACTGTTAAAAGAGTACTAAATGAAGACCTGGGACTACGAGCTTATCGTAAAAAGACAGGACATTTTTTGAACGAGCGTTTAAAAAAAATTAGGCTAGACAGATCCCGCGCTTTGCTACGACGGTACGCGGGAAAAAAATACCGCGAAATTCTTTTTTCGGATGAAAAAATTTTTACTATTGAAGAAAGTTTTAACAAACAAAATGATAAGGTGTATGCCCACAGCAGTGAAGAAGCAAGCGCGCGTATTGCGAGGGTCCAGCGTGGGCATTACCCTTCCTCATTCATGGTTTGGCTTGGAGTCTCATATTCAGGCGTAACTGAGGTGTTTTTCTGTGAAAAAGGTGTGAGAACTAGTGCCGAAGTTTATCAAAATACTGTCCTAACAAACATAGTGGAACCTCTTTCTCAGACAATGTTCAGGAACAGGCATTGGATATTCCAACAGGACTCTGCACCGGCTCATAAGGCACGAAGTACGCAAGACTGGTTGATCGCTCGTGGAATTGACTTCATCCGGCATGAAGACTGGCCCTCTTCTAGTCCAGATTTAAACCCACTGGACTACAAGATATGGCAATATTTGGAGGAAAAAGTCTGTGCTAAACCTCACCCGAATTTGGAGTCTCTCCGAGCATCTCTGGTTAAAGCAGCGGCAGACATAGATATGAATGTGGTGCGTGCAGCGATCGATGACTGGCCGCGTAGATTAAGGGCATGTGTTCAAAATGGGGGAGGGCATTTCGAATAATGTAAATAAAATTATATTGTACATTTAATGACCTTTCATTTCATATATAATTTTTAAATAATTGTCAAAAGGCGTATAAGTTATTACATCAAAAGTTTGTGACAGAACTTATGACCCGACTAAGTATAGGTACATAAATATTTATTTTACCGGAAACAAATAATCACTCTTATCGATTTTATTATTTCATATCACTTCAGTGTTTTCGATGTGTTTATATATTCAATGTCTTTTTATATTTTACCGGGCTTAAATAAAGGGCTTTTGAATTCTGAAATAATAAAAAGGGAGGCTAATTGGGATTGATCCGGAACAACAATTGGCTAGTCTCCTAGGTCAGAAATAAATTAATTCGACGTTGCAATACAATAAAATATTGAAAATTAACTATACTTTTCATTCATCGATTTGTCGATACACTTAATTTTTGATATTTTTAGCCAATTTTTATGAAACAAGTAAGTCGTTTGGCTCGAAAATACAATGACGTCGTAATTTCCAACATGAAGACTGGCGTAGTGACGTGCGTCAACAATGCATTCATATTTAGTACCTAGCTCTATAATTTTATTATTATTTTGTATGTTCATTTCCACTCTCGGGACCACAGGGTCCCGGACTTTTGGAAGGCGTACGAGGGGTCGAAGCCAACTCGCAGAGGCCCTTTGAACAATTATCCCTGTATGCACTATGAAAGTGCACCCAAGGAGAATCCCCGGTTGATGGAAGACTATTGCGAAATGTGGTAAAAATTTATAAGGTTATGGGTATGGGTTGCTATGGACTGGTGGATATGATAACTATGGAAATACTATGGCCCCTGCCCCTGACCAATATTGATACATACGGATAAACAGGCTGGGGGTGACTGGCAAACTCAATTAATGGGCCCCCGGAAACGGCCGCTAGCATGTAGCGACAAGGGGGCAACATGCGTTGAGCTGCTTGGGGAAGGAGAGGCATCCCAAGGCTATCAGAGCAATCCCGGCAGTACGGTCAAGACCCCTACCAGCATCTTAATGAGATACATCCTTCCCCCGAGTCTCCTTCAACTCCTACTCTTGCGAATCTCCACTCAAGCCAGCCAATTAAGGCAAGAATGAGGTGGGATGTTCCTCATCAGTGTTCACTCCAGCTAGCCACGACGACTAACCGGAGAGAGAAGAACAAGACACCTCCCGGGAGTCAGGTCCGTGGGGTCGCTACTACCCAACAGCTTGCCACAAGCTGCCTTGCGGATTTATTATTATTAATATTTATAAACATTAATTTGTTTTAAGTTATTAATAACCTATTATTTACAGCAGTCGTTTAAATGCCACCATTGTTATTATTACAATTGTTTTTCACTATCGAAATCTATTAGTAGCAGGAAACAGGATAGCGGAAATTTTGTTATCAAAACTTGGAGGAAAATAATTCAAAATTCCACCAAATTATAATTGTGAAACTTCACTGTTCTATAAATGCTTGACGCACAAAGCAGTGGAAGTGCGCGTATTGTGTTCAAAAAGAGTGAACGAACAAGTTTAGTATACAAAAAAATTAATATTAGCGGATCACAAACTCCAATAGATTTTAGTGTTCGTGAACAAAAGTGATATATAAAAAAATACAATGACAATTAGTTGTGGTTTTTATTTAAACAAGCACAATCCCACTTACAGCCCCGGGGAGGTTGTGACTGGCACCTTACTGTATAGTGTGAACGAACCATTAGCCGTTAAGAATATAAGTCTATTTCTAAAAGGTAAAGGGGAATTGAAATCTAAAAGTAATTTCTCTACAACTGGACGTTCCAGTAACAAAATCAACAAGACCTACGTGAATGCAAGTAAAATAATCCAAGACAGAGAGTCGACATTACCAATAGGAAGATATGAAACAAACTTCAGTTTGAAATTACCTGAGGACATACCTCCATCTTTTTCGGATGCCCGAATTTCATGTTGTACCAGTTACAATTTTAAAATTAGATACTATATTCTTTTGAAATTCATCAAACCAGGTTGGTTCGAAACAGCCAAAAATTTTGAGAAAGATATTTATGTTACAGCAAGCGTTATTCCTAAACTACCGATGGATCCTGTCATATATGGGGAGTCTAGTAAACTTTGCTCATTATTTTGCAATCAAAACAAAATGGTTAAAATTAGAGCAAACATTTTAAACTCAGTCATCAAACCTGGAGGAAATATACAAATTCAGTTGGAAGTAAACAACGACACTAATTTCGCAATTGATTGTACAGTTGATTTGAAAGAACTAACTACATATTTTAGTTATAATTTATGGTCTGCAATGTTTTATGAGAATGTCCCGAACTGCAGTCAAAAAATACAAGAAATAAAAAAGAGAGACAAGCTCAAAGTTAATATAAACATTGTTGTACCTACAGATTGCGTGTCTTTGGAAAATGCTGAATTGGTAGTGAAAAAATATTCCGTGAGAATAACTGCTCTTCTTCCAGCCCTTCATTCAAATGTTGTACTTGACGTCCCTGTACAAATTGGAAAGGAAATTCTTGAAGCACACGCTTTATTTTAAAAAGAAACAAAACAAAACTTTTCTATTTTCTATACACTATATTTTAGCTGTTTGAGAGCCATCCTTCAGCACGAATAGTCGTACAACATACAACGGCTCCACAGAAAACCGTTGTGAAACAACAACACAATGTTATGTTTCGCCGTGTGAGTGAGGCTAACGGATGCCCAATCCTACCTCTCCCCTAATCCTAAATCTCCTAACACCTAATCACCTAATAGCCGGCAACTTCCTCGTGAATCCTGTAGTGTTGCGAGTGCCCATGGGCGACCAACATCAGGCAATCCGATATCCGACATTATACCTAAGTATCGCATATCATAAAAAAAAAAACAAAAAAATATTTTCTTCTGTCTTTAAATCAGCAACAAAACTTATGTAAAATTCATTTAAAACTGCTCTATTTTTAAAACGCATTATGATGTTATAAAATCCAAATTGTAAGAATTCGACACTTAATTGATATTATAATTACTACAACTGACTTATGCAAGTTATAGTTTTATTAATTTGTATGAGTGTTATAAGCACCGATTGCTTACGTACAGATGATAAGTCTGTTAGTGTACTTGAAATTATCTGTTTGTCAACATATGTACCTACGACACAGGAATAAACCTTAGTCTGGAGCAACGTGTTAAAAGAAATATGTTTTTAGTTGTATCTTTAACATTAATCTTACTAAGTTAATTACCAATAAGTTCAAATTATGTATCGAAATATAATAAAATACCAAACCTTTTTTGCATCAGACTTTTATTTATCTATAATTTAATCGTTTTTAACATCACATGTGTCTTTTACAGGAAAAACATCAGTCTACAAGCGTACCAGCTGTTCAGCAAAGTACAAATCAATCTTATTCTATTTCTCTTCATCATAATGTTGATTTTTCATTGCAACAGGTGCAGTAACTTCACCTATTATTTTTCCAATAACCACAGGTACTTCAACAGTAGCGTCTTTATAAGGAAAAGGCATTTGTATTGTGACTCTTACTTTGTATTCTCCTTTTATAATTTTCGTATTTTGTATGGAGAACAAATTTGAAAACGTAGGAACAATACACGATACGCTTTGTTCCGTATTTTTTCCTATATTATATCCCGTAGTTGTATTTGGTATTAATACAACATCAGTACTCGAATCTCCACAATTTGACATAAAAGTAAAACATTTAATTAGGTCAGTTTTGATAAATATTTCATTATTTGAATTATTGTTCACTTTAAGTGTCATATTGATATTTGCACCAGGTGTTACCGCCACATTTTCTAGTTCTCCTTTTAGGCCAATCTTGTTGTTAGCAAACATTGAGAATAGTTTTTTCTGTAAACCAAATGAAATTGGCTCATGAATAGATGAGGTCACATAGGCATGGACTGGTATCTCAGCCTCAAATTGTTCACGTTTCGTTGTCTTTACAAATGTCACAATAATTTTGTAGTCTATAACGCAGTTTCCGTCCTTATACGAGGATGGTATGTTAACTGGAAGTAAGAATTGAAACGGGTATTCATACGCTCCCGATAGTTCTTCACCACTTTTTCCTGTGTAGAAACAAATTGTTTGATTCAAGTAATCTTCAGTGTTGCCAAAATTTCTGCCCGGTGCACTTGAGTCTGTTTTCGTCCACCAACAATTTCCTTTGCCATGAAAATTTATTGATATTGCCTCATACTTTGTTGGTTCTTCTATGAAGTACTTTACAGTTCCCGTCACTAAATCTCCTGATTTGAAGACTCCATCTTCAGTTCTGGTGATTAATATCTGACACACAACGTCCATTGTATAAAAAATTTCAAAATACGAATAAGGAAAACACACTGCTCACTTCACTACACACTATCATATAAATATTGTGAATATCAGTTACCAAAAATATGCTGGAATGTTTTCGAATCAATAAGTCTTAAGACAAGTTGAAAGTGCAATGGAAATTGCACCCTGTGTTTTGCAGTCAACGTGTATATTGAAATAGCAGATTGGGATGTTGTGAAATAGAAGATACGGATAAAGCGTATCGACAGTGTCATCGATAGCGATATGATATCAGCGTGACGTCATAGATCCGAGTACGTGTACTTACTTGTGCCTTTCTCTAACAAACGTACACTCATTAAGCTATGAAAAACCAGTATAAGTTGACCATTGAATGAGAGAAAACACCACACAATTCAAGGCTATGATAAGTTGGTTGTATGAATTAAAAAATAGTAAGTTTTTAAGTAGGCATAGTAAATACCCCGAGAGCTTTCGTCACGTCTCTTACTGGCGCCCCTTAGATCGATCAGAACACTGCAGTGGTGCTCATTAGGGCCGATGTCCAGGGATTACGGGTACAATAATATAAGTACTGCGGCCCGATTTGGAATAGAAGAAACAAGGTGGTTTTTATTCCGTAAGAGTCTGACACTCCCTCTTGCTCCACCTAGTGCGGGTGAAGAAATGTTATAATTTTCTCCCATAAAAAAGTTTGTATGTTAAATAGGAAGCTATATAACAACAACATGATACAATAATTATGTACTACTTATGAAATTCTTGTTGTAACCGCACAAACATTACGGCACGTAAATATCTGCGCGCGCCTCAAAAGAGCCAATAGACCACCACAGACGGGGCCCTATAGAGCTGATGTTCAGCCGGGGTTGCGGGGTAAGCGCAATGAGGCACCGCGACCTCGGCCCAGATCAGGAGAAGTAACAGGGGGTTTTTAGTCAGTAAGAGCCTGACACTCCCTCCCGCCCGGTCCTGGGCGGGAGAAGTCATTTGATGATTTACCCCGCACAAAAAAAAACCACACAAACATCACAAATTTTGGCTCGTATACCTAAACAGTTTAATTTTTAATGGGATCAGCTGGCAAACTGGCACCTCAAGGTAAGCAATTGGCGCCGCTCTTGGACACCTTGCAGCACTAGAGCCGCCTTGTAAGCCTTTTGAGAGTTATGGATTCAAGGATTGAGGGAATCAGGTGGGTGGGTTTGGCCTTGAGGTAATGTCACTCACACAGTAAGTTAAATGTGAAGAGTGTCACATTTTTCTTATAAGATAAGTATAATTTATTGAATAAATAACTAGCCATTGGATAAAATGGCTGTGTTTCTCATTCAAGGATGAAAGGATTTTTACTAAAACCATGTTAGATACCAGAACGGTAGGGAAGAAGAGGACACGTATGTGACTCGCATAGAAATCGAACCGCCACGAGAAGTAAGTTGGCTGCAAAAAATACACTAAACAAAACGTAGAATTAGGAACACTATTCAAACAAATAAAAACAACTCAACACGTTATCTTCAAAAGTTTTATTTACAGACTATCCTCGCAAAGGTATTCCCTATAATATTAACAATTAAAACAAATAGATATATAATATAATATAAAAAGACACATTTAAATTTCAACATTAAAGTACAAACATTACGGTACAAAATCATTTGCAACATTTTATACAAGAATGTTATGCGAACAGGAAAATTGAACGGATAATTATTTTTACGTCATTCTCACAACACTCATGCGCATGCGCAGGAATCCCCTCAGAGCTTTGTCATAACCAAACAGCTAATAAAAAACATACTTTAACAACAATCCGCATGGTTTATTTTACATTGGACACCTATGCAACACTTGAACCGGTTTACTTTAGTAAACATTGTAAAATCAACTCTATATACCGTTTTTTTAAGATTGTATTGTCATGGCACTTAAATAAAAGCAAGATCTTAATATGTTGTGAACATTCATGCATTTGCAACAGTTGTTTACTTTATCTTGAAGTGGTCTCTTGCGTGTTATTAATTGAATATATTTTGAAACTATGCCTGTGTTGTGTCAAATATATCTGGAAAAGACCAGAGATGGTGTGCACAGATCTGGGGAGCCAGTGAGAGGCACCCTGATCTACTCAGTGGATAAGCCAACAAAGTTTGAAAGCATACACGTCAAGTTGTTGGGCAAAGGAAAGTGCAGTTGGTCAGAATCCGATGGTGATAACACCACACATTATAGCAATAAAGAAGAATATGTGAACCAATCTTGCAATGTACTCCAATCAACAACTGATAAGAAACTACCTGCAGGTAAATACGAATTCCCATTTCATTTCGTCCTTCCAAATGAGATACCAGCGTCAATCAAAAATAAGACATGCACTATAGAATACAAAATCATCGCAGAATTTGTGAAGGCAAAGTTTTTTAGCGCAACCAGTAAATTTACAACAGAAATACCTGTGTACGCTTACGTGAGCCGAACCAGTGTAGAACCTCTACACTTTGGTCTACAAAAAGAACTGTTTTCCTTAACATCAAACAACAAAGTGATCGTCAAAGCAGTATTAGATAAAACAGTGGCTTCACCAGGTGAAAATTTAACTGTAAAAATGACAGTACACAATGATACAGGATTGGTTATAACAATAAAAACTCAATTGTACAGATATTTTACTTACATATCTAGTTCGAAAAGTAAAAGGGTGGATAAGGAATCTGTGAAAGAAACGACTTCTGTAAAGACGTTGAAAGAGAGAAGTGTATCAAATTTGATGTTTACTGTGCCAATACTACCAAGTTTATATTCAATACAGCATACGAAGATAATGACTGGAGAATACAGAGTGAAAGTAACAGCTGACTTGCCCTTCCCTCACATCAATGAAGTAGTAGAAGTACCAGTGGTTATTGGTGAAACAAGAGATAGACCTGGACCAGAAGTTCGAGTTCTTGATGACAAACCTTCATCTTCAAAGGATAGATATGAAAAGGAAGATAAAGGAGAATGGAACGGTGATGACAATTGGGACAAATTACGCATCAGCTGATGATTGGATTATGATAGTTTAAAAACATTGTGTAAAAATTTTTTCTTGAAAAAAATCTTAGCATTTTGTTATATGTTTATTTGTCAAACTCAAACCTTCTCCGTGTGAGAAGAGGCCTTTACTCAGCAGTGGGCAATTATAATCAATTATTTCTCACATGTTTACATACAAAAGGGCCGTTTATGGTTTTCATTTTTCTTGATGAGGTGATTTATATTAATTGTTTTACAATAATAAATATAAGTATGTTTAAGTAACTGTTTGTACGCCTGACGGTATATTCATAGCATCAACTTGCGTTTTTTACGAAAACTATAAATTATGAAGAATTTTACGTTTTTCCTTCGCTTGCTATACTGATGTCGTGTAGGTAACACGAATTAAAGTAATCAATTAAAACCTGTTCGAGTATTTTTCCTGGAGTCAATCCACCATCAACACCTGGTTCCGCACAGTAATTAAACATAAATAATGAAGTTCATGTATATTTTGAGAACGATAAAACCGAACTGAACGCCTGGTGCAAGTTTATTCTGCTTTTCGTTTGCGCGATCGACACTCTTATGACGTTGGCCCTGATTGGTCTACTTCAAGTTAAGCTGCCAATCAGAGTGTATAAATCTTACGTAACGTAAAAGTAATAGCTAATTAAATTCAGGAAAATATATGTATTGGATAGTAAACTTCAGTTGTCAATAAATAAATTCTTTTTCGATACGTTTTGTAGTTTTTATACTTATTGTTGTCTGACAACTCTGTAGTCCATTTGCTTTCTCTATCCAATAGATAAATTCTAAGTGTGGGAGAACCATGTTTTGGCACGAATGGGTCGGCTCAACCATAGTGATACAACGGCCTCATAGAAAACCGGCGTGAAACAAGCACAGCGTTGGGTTTCGCCGTGTGAGTGTGGTTACCGGAGGCCCAATTCCACCCCCTCCGGCAAAAGGCCGGCAACGCATTCGTTAGTCCTTTAGTATTGTGGGTGTCCATGTACGACAACGATTGCTTACTACCAGGTAATCCGTGCGCTTGTTTGCCAACTTATACTTATGTATAAAAAAAGAAATGAATCGAACAAAACAATTGTCTATAAAACAATTACAGTATCATACGTTTTGAAACTGTGAGTATAAAAATAGAAAACCAATAAAAATAATACAAAAACATAAAACACCAATGACTTTTAAAATTCTTATATTAATAAACAGGAAAAAATCTGATGTCGTCGTTTATTTTCTGCTTATCTAGGATCCCTAGGAATCCTGGTCCATCAGGTAATGAATGATTTAATTACTTCACAATCATGTGTGAGCGGAGTTATTTACTCATATCTAAGTGTATTTGATGCTGATAAAAAAGAAAGAGCAAGAATTTCCATGATTACGCTTTGATAATCGGTTTCACAATCTTATACTTGGTCAAACAATAAAGGTTAATTAATTACTCGACAACAACGAAAACCAATTTTCAGCCAATGAGATAGAATAAAAAAAATGTCTTGTAGAATATCAAGAAATCTTGTTGATCCAGTGCAATTACTCTTAAAATTATCAAACACCTACAAAAACCACAGAAGAACCTCATTCTTAGCCATCGTTTGTGAAAATTTTCGTTAACAAAACGATATTATTAATAGCTTTACCGAGAACTTGACATTTAAATCCTAATATCATTGACATTTAAAAACAAATTAACAATCAAATACCAGCAACCATCAAAGAAGATACACGTTATAATCAACACGAAACGACATTTCCAAATCAAACACATTAAATCCAAAATGGCGTCAATCCAATATTCAACTGGAATGTAGCACCCAATCGTAAGGGCAAGCACACATCATAACATGTAATTCCTCCAACTCCCAACTCCCCCGACTCCACCAAGTCCTCCAACACCCCCGAATAATTAACGAGGTGCGAAACGAAACGATTAAATCCTCCGTGTAAATATTTTATTGGACGAATGTGTGTGAACGTGGCTTTTAAAAAAGCTCCCCTTAGAACGAACGTAGGGCTGCCAACCTGTATTAATCTTGTAATCTTGTTCAAATGTTTGCATTGCCTGTGTAACATCCTTAGATGTGGATTTAAAATCGGGTTACGTATGTAGACACTGCTGCCGCTATCATCCACGTAAAGGTTAAGGTGATCGATAATTAAAATTCTTGATTTGAATCTATTTATTTGCGTTAATGTGGGTTGCTATGTTGATTTTATTTTGAATCAATTTAAGTTTTGTTATGTTTACTTGCCCTTTCATACCATAAATAAATAATTTAAGCGTGGGAGAGCCATGCTTCGGCACGAATGGGTCGGCTCGACAGGAGACCCCCCCAAAAACTAAATCTCAAATTCCCTAAACCCAAAAAGGTATGCACCTCACTCGTTACTCCTGTTGCGGGTGTCCATGAGCGGCGCTGATTGCTTACCATCAGGTAACAAGTCTGCTCGTTTGCCGACCTATCACATAAAAAGAAAACCGTTGAACCATTACTAGTGCACTGTTTTGTTTGATATGGAAATTTCTGCAAGACACTGTTTAAGTTTTCATAATATTTTGAAGTACAAAGCTGAATGTCTACATAGTCTAAAGTCTTTTATTTTGAGAGGGGAAAATTATGTAATGACTTTTTGAGGGAGTGTCAGACTCTTACTGACTAAAAACCCCTCTGCATTCTACCTCTGGATCTAGGCCAAGGCCGCGGTTCCTTGTTGCGCTTGCCCCGCAACACTGGCTGAACATCGGCGCTACATAGTACATACCCTCAAGCCTAAAATATAAAATACTAGCTTTGGCCGCGACTTTGTTCGCGTGGAATAGTAACATCCTGCAGAATTTTGGTTTAAAAACTATCCTATGTCCTTTCTCGAGTTCCAAACAATGTCTGTACCAAATTTCACAGAAATAGGTTCAGTAGTTTAGGCGTGAAGAAATGACAGACAGACAGAGTTACTTTCGCATTTATAATATTAGTTTGGAAGTTTGGTTGATAAAATTTTATTTGTTATGTAGAAGTAAACCACTCATACTTTATTTTTTTTAGTAATTATCTTATTAAAATAAAATTTTATATAAGTTAGGTAGCTACTTAATTTTTATTCAAATTATTTTTCTTAAACGCTTTTTAAAATAAACCCTACATCAAAGAGAGACGGGATAACGTATTTTTTTCACAAGTAGTACGAGTATGTATGTATATTAAGTTCGTGCCTTCTGTACGTTTGTCAGGAATCGACAGACATGTAATGTTGGCGACGTGACTGTCAAATGATGCTTTTAAACGAAACGTTTTCTGTACAATGGTGTTTATAAATACAAAAGAGGAAAGGGAGAAATGTTTGAACATGTTTTTGTATGTATATTTTTCTAACGACTAATCTCGGCTTTGCACGGATAATGCAGTGGATGTTGTTATACAATGACATATAAACCTTGCTTTCCACTCTATCTATTAAATAAATCTGCATCAATATACGTTGCATAGTTTTAAAGATTTAAGCATACATATGTAGTGATGTGTTATCACTATAATTTAGGTAGACATGCAAAATTTTAACAAAGTTCAACTGTAACCTATTCAATGACGTGTGGTGGTGATTACCTATTTACCACCGTTATTCTTACCGCGGATGTCATCTGCAGAGTTAGAAAAGTAACCCCAAGGGGTTACTTTTCTAAAAAAAAACTTTGGCTTTCACTTGGATTTAAGCAACGATCTACTTAATACAGAATCGGTAATAGTAAAATTAACGTTGAAAAAAAGAAATGAACACAAATGAGCCGGCTCGACTGGAGTGACACCACGGCTTTACAGAAGACCAGTATGGTAACAACGCTTACGTTATGTGTCGTATAAGTGAGGTCACCGGAATATGTAGTTTATTATTCCGGTGACCATCCCATCTTCAAATATCAAACCCTAAAAATATCACAAAACATTTTTTTGTTGTAGTGGTCCTTAAGATCGTTCACGGTGAGCCATAAACTCTTTTACCGACCGATTCTAAAAAAAAACAATATGTGTTCGAACTGAAAATCACCAAAAACAAACCTTAAGTTTTACCATAAACAGTTGAAATTACAATGTCGCACGCACCGTCAAACACACTGATTGGATTTGATAATGAACGGATTGTATAACAAAAGAATGATAGACAAAATTAATTTGTACTTCAATCATTCTATTTTTATTTCATTCAGTCACTCGCATTGACTTGTACTGTCTGTATTGTTATAATTGAATTACAAAAAAAAAAATACATAACAACTTTTTTTTTATGTAATAGGTCGGCAAACGAGCAGACGGATTACCTAATGGTAAGCAATCAGCGCCACCCATGGACACTCGCAACGGAGGACTTACGAGTGCGTTGCCGACCTTTTAGGGATTAGGGATTTGGAGATTCAGGGATTGAGGAGGGATAGGGGAAGAGGAGGGATTGGGCCTCCGGTAACCTCACTCACACGGCGAAACACAACTCCGTGGGTTGTTTCACGCTGGTATTCTGTAAGGCCGTGGTATCACTCCGGTCGAGCCGACCCATTCGTGCCGAAGCTTGGCTCTCCCATTGATGATAATGTACCTAGAAATACAGACGTCACGGATCAAAATTCCTTTGTTGTCTCTATAAGCAATCACTTTACTATATATTACATAATATAGTTCAAAATAACCTATCTGTCTTGAACAAGCGTAATGATTAATGATCATTCCTTCTCCAAATGAACAGCTCCCATTCTCTCATAGATAATATTGTCAGCCCTTTTGAAACGAAATAAATGTACAGAAATTCATTTGATGTCCACGTCACTTATCTATGACTTTCAGAAATCTACAGAATGATCAGAATTCTTTAGTTCAGCAGTAAAAGTCTCGCAACTCGTACATTGAAGAGTTACTGATATAATTATGATCCTAAACCACCAAATTTTTTAACAAGACAGAAATATGTTATTCAAACTAAATAAGTGCGGGAGAGCCATGCTTCGGCACGAATGGATCGGCACAACCATAGTGATACCACGCCCTCACAGAAAACCGGCGTGAAATAACCACAGCGTTGTGGTTCGCCGTGTGAGTGAGGTTACCGCAAGCCCAATCCTTCTACTCCCCCAATCCCTTCTCAATCCCTAAATCTCCAAATCCCTAATCCCTAAAAGGTAGGCAACGCACTTGTAACTCCTTCGTTGCGAGTGTCCATGGAGGGAGCTGATTGCTTACCATCAGGTAATCCTTCTGCTCGTTTGCCTAAATATTACAAAAAAAAAATTAAAAGTCCTTCAACACAAAGAATCTTAAACTTATAATAGACTTGGCAGTACAGAAAAGAATCCCGAAAAATTAAGGTCAAATCATCTTACGATATTGTTATTTTTACATCAACGCAATCTCAAATATCAGACAAGGATTCACTTCGGCCAACAAAAGCTTAAATCAAGCGGACGTCAGACACTTTCTTAACTTGAATGAAAATTTCCAGTCGGACGTTATTAATCAAAGTTGAACCTTCAACGTTCCAACAAAAGGTATAATATTCAATACGGTTGACGATCCGAAGGCTTGCAAATGATTGTTGCTTTTGTCAGCTAACTTTAAGAACACGGCTAATTGTAATAGAGTCGACAATCGACTGAACTTTTACAAAGAATAGGGGATAGGTTTAAAAAGAAAAATGGCTGAATTGTGTAGGCAAAGATGATATAGAATTTGTGAAGATAGAAAATCTTGAATGATTGTATAATTTATATAGGCTTTCTTATTGTAAATAGAGAACATTGGCCTAGGATTATATAATTTGATAAATGAATTTCATTAATGTACGAAATCAATTGTAATCTATAATGGCATTTTTTTTAAGTTTTTACAGCTGGACAAATTTGTATAGTGCTATCTTTTTAGAATTCATTATCTGTTTAAAAGAAAATTTGATATGATATGATGATATCAGTAAAATTATTTATTTATTATTTTATTTTATTTATTTATTATAGTAAAAAGGACAAAAACAAAAACGAGAACTTTAATTCTAAGATTTCTGGTTGTATCTTATGGAATGTGATAGTAAGACAGTTGAAATTGTAAATGTAGGTACTTTTAGAGCTGCTATAAGAACAAATGCCAAATAAAAATAATCTTTAATGGAGTCCAAGGTCATGAAATCGTCAAAATATTGGGATTAGTTTCCCATTCAACAAACATGATTTTGGTACAAAACTCTTCATGGACGAGTTTAACTTGCACGAGACTGTTTAAGTAACTACAAAGAAAATATTTGGTTAATTTTGTTGATACAGATTCTGTTTAAATAAAGTATAAATATTATAAGTGGTTTTACATAAAATATGAATATGAGACGAGTGAATAAGTTCGCAAATAGTGAATAAGTTTGCTCATTAACTAAAAAACGCGGGTTACTCACGTGTAAATGTTGAGAAAAGCTCTACTAGTTTCGAACTACAGAGGGGTTCTTCCTCATGAAGGCTTCCGTAGGCCTTCCGTAGGCTGCGCGACGTCGCCGCGTCCGCTGCTCATGAGGAAGAACCCCTCTGTGGTTCGAAACTAAAATTAACATAGCTGATGCTGATAGCTATGTTAATTTTAATTATATTCTAGTTTTAATTTCTATATATTTTGACTGTATAAACGCATAATTTTGGTTAGCTATTAGTATATTAGAATGTTGGTTAGCTCGTAACTGGCTAGTGTATATGACCCACTGTCTATAACCAATACTTTATACCATTTGTATACATAAGCCGTGAGCGTACCTTATAATAAATAAATCAGCAATGTGATTCTGTAAGACTTCATTCTTAACTTCGAATCTAAATCCGCTGTGAGTAGTAGTACACTAGCACTACACTTGAGAGTTGCACTAAATTGACAGCAACATTTTGATAGATAAAGTATGAGATGACGCTAAAAGTGGCATTCTATAATGAAATTTCCCCGTCACTTCACACTCGAATAAGATTCAAAATCATACAAATTTTATAGAATCGACGCACGTGCAGGTAATCCTGATGGTAAGCAATCGGTGCTGCTCATAGACACCCGGAACGTCAGAGGTGTTACGAGTGCTTTGCCGACCTTTTGGGGATTAAAATTTCGGGATGGGGAGAGAATGGGGGGAGGGTTTCGCGAAAACTACATACTTAATAAAATTTGACTATGACATCTAGGCTATGTTATGTACTATCTTAACATTAGCTCAGTGACAAATATCTTTTTCAGTACCTATCATCATCATCATCATCAGCCTATAAGTGCCCTGTGCTGAGCTAAGGCCTCTTCTCATTGGAGAAGGTTAGAGCATTAATCACCACGCTTGCTCAATGCGCGTTGGTGATTTCAAACTTATAATTAGAAATTATAAGTCCAGGTTTCCTTACGATGTTTACCTTCACCGATGTCAGTAGTGTTTAAATAATCATAGAAAGTACATATAACTTGGAAAAAGTCACATTAGTACTTGCCAGGTTTCGAACCCACACCCTCATGCATGAGAAGCGGGCTCCTTAACCTCCGGGCCATCACGATATTTTTGTCGTACCTATCAGCTACCAGCCAAAGAAGCAATTAATATAAATAAAATATTCCTGAAACTTTTGCTTGAGTATTTCTCCTCAATCGCCTGAAAACTGAAAACTCTCAGACAGTTCGAAACATTCACTATTTAAATAAGAAGTATCATCAATCTACTTGATTTAGTTTTTTAAACTTTAAATTACATTACGTAAACTGAAAACAACCAATGAAAGTTTGCAAACTACATTTTTCTATGTAACGCTACAAAAAATAGCAAGGGCTATTTATAAAAGTTGAAGATTTTTTTTCTATTACCCTAGGCAGTAGTTACTTTTTTTCACTTTTATATATCTACATCTTGATATTTTATTACATTGGAGTAACATGTTATGTTAAAGTTTTACATGGCTTTTTTGAGTAGGAAAATCATCAAATGACTTCTCCCGCCTAGGGTCGGGAGGGAGGGACTGTTAGACTCTAACTGACTAAAAACATGTAAATTCCTTCTCCTCATTGTGCTTACCCCGCAACCCCGGCTGAACATCATCTGTCTGTGGTGGTCTATTGGCTCTTTTAGGCGCGCGCGGTACGCTCGTAAACAATACGTTTAGTATATCTCACAATAGTTATCTACTATTCCAAAAGAAATCTATCTAATCTATGTCAAGAGAAAACCTGGACTGCCACGGCCTCACAGGAAACCATTGTAACATATGTAAAAAACAGCGTTGTGTGTTTACCGTGTAAATGAATAACACCCAAAAGGCTGGAACGTACTCGTAAGTCTTTTGGTTTTGCTCGTGTTTTTCTGGTGGTTGATAAGGTCTTAGGCCCACGTATTCTCATAAAAAGACTAAGGGTTCATGCTATGATGTAAAAAAAAGCCAAACGTTTTACTAGGAATATTTCGCTTACTTCAGTTATAATGACAATAGGCTTGAACAGAAACGTGGGCGGAACCACAAGACACATTCATTCTGGAATATTCCACAAAAGTTCCAAAATACTTTTAATAGATTTAGACAAGGTTTAATGAAATTACTTTTAACGTCATTTGTCGTAAGTACTTTGGTTTACTTTGATAACTCGAGTTCAAGTTGAATGTTTAAAGAAATTTTTGTGGTCGAAGATTTTTCGTTTTTTCTGCTGCTTTTTTTACATTTTAAAAGTCTTCGTTACGCTGAAGAATTATTTCTTACCAGAGAAAGCCCTTAATTTATAAGTAATCAGTTCCATAAGTTACATAGATGCTATAAAAAAGGTTAATATCTAAAAGTACGGAATAGTCTAATAAACATTATAAAGTATTATTATTTATCTACTATCCCAGTTATACTGCTCAAAAGGCCCACTACTATTATAACATGACAACAGTTAACTGATCCAATTTGATACAATCATCGAAAAGTTTATGCGTCAAACCATTACAATGATTTCATGTTTATGTTCTTTGAAAATCTTTTGATCACGTTTTCTCAAGATTTATTATTTTTCCACAGGATAGTCGGCGATAACGCCGGCCTGGCATGACGCGTCAACTACGTCCCGCCTCGCCCCTACACCTCTACTCACCCCTCTGCGATCCAACCTTGAACATACTCACCACTGTCCTCTCCCTCTCCTTATTAATACCAATAGTCAACACACAAATGGTTCTCACAAACACTAGCAAAAACAAAAACTTTTCAAACGAAATTAATATAAGCAATTTTACAAAACTAGAAGAGTATACAGTAAAAACAGATAAAAACGATGAAAGCGAGCTTATTAACACAGTAAGTAGTAAAAACTACCAAACACTCATAGACAGGTTTAGGAGAAAAGATAAAAATGTAACAGGCAACATTGATATAGCTAATGACATGAGAAGCGACGAAGAAAAATACCAAAGCGATCTTGAATTAGATGATGAGACCGATAAAGGTGGGTTGGATAACAACTCAATGGAGAAATTGCGTGTTGACGATGAAACAAGAACAAAGATTTTCAATGATTTCTCTAAAACAGTGAAGATTTATAAGAACTTATCTAAAATAGACGTTGTTAGAGAAACTAATGAGACACAAGATAGTGTTGAAATGAAATCAAAGGTGGATCGCAAAGATATTAGAAGGACCACAAATGAATCATTAGGATTCCCCACACGAAAACCCACATCCTCTCATGTTCCTTCAATTACTGATGCTCAACAAACGCCACGGCCCAGCTTCCTAGAGGGTAAGTAAATTTAAGCCTTACAGCTACTAGTTTACGATTTAATTTTAGATCTCCTGTAATAATTTAAGGTTTCAGGATGGATTTGTGAGCAATATTGCTCTGAAATCAAGGGTCACGATTGAACAAGGTTTTTGAAGTTAATTGTCCTTGAGCTTCAAATGGTTTCAATTAATGTTTAGGTGTATTTATACCTTTGACGGCCACTTATACTCTTTCTTTTACAGAATATGCGAATTTTTCACCAAATTAAATTAATTCCATATTTCATTGTAATATTATATCTTAAGAACGGGTTTCATTATCCAATCCAATTCGGCTTTGTTCGGATTATTTAGCGGATAATTTATGTAAAGTTTGTACAAAATCTGTCGAGCAATCCATCATAAATTACGTAGAGACCTTACGTGTGCCCTGTTCAGGCCATGTTTCACACTTAACTTAAACAAAATATTGACAACACATGAAGAAAAAACCATTTTTCCTTACTGCGTAATTAACACTACGGAACTTTATAATTCAAGTCAGTACAGCGAAAGTTTAAAATCCCTCATTAGTAAATAAATTACAATTCCAGTTAATCATATATATTAAATGACACGTAACCATCGCAACGACTTTTGCTGAAGGTAAGGGTATATTTTTCACTTAAGACAGAGTATAGTAAATTAACCTTTAGTATGCGGAAATCTCATCGGAAACATGTCAATTGATGTTAAAATTTCACAACACCAAAATGGCACTTCTACACATAGTACGAATTTGAAAGCTCAAAACAAATAGCCTTTTACATCATCCATTCAAATAAAAAAGGAACAAAACATTATGCATGCCTTTTATCTATAAAAATCGGTTATTCATAACGTGTACAGGCTAAACGTCAGTCCATTGGTTTGTTATAGAATTTCAGTATCAAAATACATGCATAGGCTCGATATTTATGTTTTTTTGTTCATTTGTATTTGAATACTGACTGTTTACTGTTTTATTGTCTGTTCGATTGAGATTTAAATATTTTAGAATCGAAGTAAATAGGATAAAAAAAGATTACTGCTTTTTTTTCTTTTCTAGTTGCACACATAAATAAATTGATTATACAAAAAACTGTCTCATAGGTCGAATGGTCGCATCATTGACTTCTGTGCAAGAAGTCTCCATTTCGAGATTATTTGGGGAAATGGTTTTTTAGGTTTTTGGATCCTAAATCACATTGCTGCAAACTTCTTTTCCAATTCAAAGTCGATTAATTGAATACATACATATGATCATCTAAAAAAATTTAATTGCACATTTGAACAGTCAAAGAAGAATTGTCGTTGAATTCAGTAAGAGTCTGACACTTCCTCTCGTCTTACTCTGGACGTGAGGAGTCATTTGGTGATTATGCCTTAACCAAAAAAAACCCCAAAAAGCCTGGCATGACTGAAAAAGTTACTTATCAGGTGTCCATGTGCGGCGCCAAATAATGTGACTGCTCCTTTGTCGCCCTATGCCATAAAATAAGTTTTTATTTACGTGATAGGTCGGCAAACGAGCCGACGGATTATCTGATGGCAAGCAATCAGCGCCGCCCATGGACACCTGTAACTACGGAGGAGTTAGTTTTTGGGATTGGGGAGGGATTGCGAGAGAGGAAGGATTGGACTTCCTTCGATAACCTCACTTACACGGCGAAACACAACGCTGAGGTTGTTTCACGCCAGTTTTCTCTGAAGCCGTGGTATCAATCCAGTCGAGCCGACCCATTCGTATCGAAGCATGGCTTTCCCACACTTAGTTATACCAGCCATTGCATACAAAGGCAAAAATCAATAGAAAATCTGGATAAATTACTTATACCCACATAATTACATATGTTGTACCCCGTCTGTCAACGAATGCTCTCGTTCCCGAAACTTTGTTACCTGTAATTTCCCTACCGTCTGTGCCTTTCATCAGGACTGAAGCCTCGTTACAATTAAGGGTCGAGCATTCGATTCTAGAACAGGGTAAACATCAGTGATGTGATAGATGGCACAGACATGATTCCAATTTTTTATTTTTGATGTAAGTTTTGGCGCCCTTTTTTGGTTGATAGGTATTTAAGATTGAGGAATTGGAGATTACAATGGAGAGGGATGTATATCGACCTTAAGTAACCTTACACAAATGACGAAAATATACAAGGCTAGCGTTGTTTCACGCCAGTTTTCTGTAAGGTCGTAGTATCACTCTGGTCGAGTCGCCAGTCGACCATTCGTGGCCCTTCCACACTTTATTCCCTAACATCATTCTTGTGGCAGTTGCTTATATGTATGTACAAGTGTATGTAGCTAGTTGCATATAAATTTGTTAGTTCCCAGACATCCCGCGATTCAAATCCATCAAAGTTTCTAATTGTTTCTAGTAGTATAATCTGTCTTTGTCACAAAACTCATCTCTATTAGTCCACTCGAAATAATATGCAAGCATTACCAACAACTTCATGTTCGCAATTATAATTTAGTAACAGATATAATTTAATCTGATTATTATAAAATTACTAGCTACTTTTGTGCTTGTTTCACCAGCTACTCGGCTCCATTTGATCGAAGCGTGATGTTTTATTGTCTATAGCACTCAAAAAAATTGTGGCTATCTATCAGTGAAAAATTTTGGCATGCCGACCAGCGGTCCTAAAGATTACCCCCTACATACAAACTTATAAATTTTATCTCTTTATACGCAAAATTATTGAAACAGAATAATGAAATGGCAGATGATTACAAAATAATAATTTCCCTATCATATTTTATTAGCAAACCACATGGAAGCGAGGGACAGCAATATATATTATTTATTTTACATATGTATATCTAATCATAATTTATTACATAATATCAATGTAAAGGTGCCTTCCGATCAACTTACCATATATTACCAAACTCTTTAAGAGATTTTCGACTATATTTCGAACTGTTAAGATTGAAACTCTTTTGAAGGAATTGGAATAGATTGAAGTGCAGCCATCTGAATAGTTATTCCATAGAGTTCGCAATCCTCGTTTAGAAGAAGGTATCTTCCCTATAGCATCGTAAAAATTGATGACGGCGAAAGAGTGCCTAGTATTGGTTTTTGTATGAATCGAAATGAGATATAGATATCAATATTGAATAATTGACACCATATTCGCGGTCGAAATGGTTAGATTGTTTTAGTAGTTCTGAAATGGCTACCACAGTCTAAAAGTAAATTTAATTACCCTACTCAGAGACACTTAATGATTACTTAAGATATTCGTTGGTAACGATGTGTGGTGGTGGCCTGGAGGTGAAGGGTCATGCAAGACGGTGTAGGTTCCAAAACCTGGCAAGAACCAATTTAACTTTTTCCGATGTTTTTTTTTATGTACTTTCTATGATCATTTGGACACCATTGACATACTATGAAGGAAAACATCGTGAAAAACCAGGACTTATAATTTTTAAATTTTAAGTTTGAAGTCAATCCTCCTTGAGCAAGCGTGGTGATTAATGCTCAAACCTTCTGTGTGAGAAGGTTTGAGAAGGTTTTTGCTCAGCCGTGGACACTTATAGGTTTATAATGTATGATGTGATGTGTGATGAAAACACCAAAGGACTTCCAAATACGTTGCCAGCCTTTTGGACGATTTAGGGAATGGGAGGACACGTAGGCCTCCGGTAACCTCACTCTCACGGTGAAACAGAATGCTATCAAGCCGACCCACCACACTCCTCTTACACCTAAAATATTCAAATCTATCACTATATTATTTTATTTAGTTCTAACTACATTAAGAGCTAATAAAATTCTGATTCTGATTCCGCTATTGTTGTCCAACAATGGTCTGCAGTGTGATTCTGTAAGACTTCATTCTAATCTTCGAATCTGAATCCGCTGTGAGTACATTTAGAGTTAAACTAAATTGATCGTTAAAAGTGGGCATTCTATAATGTAATATCCCCGTCTTCGACGCTCACTTCACACTCGAACAAGATTAAAAATCAAATGAATTTTATAGAATCGACGTGCTGGTTTACCAACGAAGGTCATTTTTAGATACTTCAACATCAAAATCTTCGATAACATCAAAAAAACTCAAATATTCTACATTAAAACTTCAGACTTAGGTACACTTTGTTTAACATCAAAGTTTAAAACTTTTTGTTTCTAAAGTTCTTCACTGTAGAGTCTGTATACTAAACAAACATTGATAGGGAGCCGGTAATACACTGTTTGATCTTTGCGATTCTTCAAGAACTAAGTAAGTATTTTACATAAACTTTCAACTTTTTCTCGAAGAAGAAGATCTAAGAAACTTCTAGTATTTTCTATGCACTTACAATGTTATTAGTACCTTAAACAAATTTCCTTGTGAGAAGAGGCTTTTCCTCAGCAACGTATATAAGATATGATATAATTCAGAATTTTAATATAATCTGGAATTGAGGTAATATTTTAGCAATAGACATTTCTGTATTTGTATTTGGTGTGAGTGGCCAACGAAACAGTTTTTCTTTCACTTTTTCTGGTTTCTTTCCATACCTTAAAATAATGAAACTTCGATCAGTTTAGACATTTTAAACCGAACCTTATCCTTACTTTTGAAAAGACAAAAATAGGCGCCTGAAAATACCTATATACTAAAAAGTTTTAATAACTTTAGAAAATACGTCCCAACTGGCATTAGAATTTAACCTCAATATACAAGAACGACTACAAACATTACAAAACAGATTTCCACGTAAGTTCAAGAGTTTGAGTCATACAAGCCTGAAGCCTTTATACAAATATTGACGTCATAAAACCAGCTCAAGGTTGCCTGGAAATAACGCCTTCGTAGTTTGCCTAAACATGGAGTATATACCAATGGAGTATCGAAAGTGCTAAAAATTTCACCGTAATAGACCAAAATGACAAATTCAAAAGGTTAGTTTGAGACACAGGTCACGCAAACATAATCATCATCATCATCAGCCATAAGTGCCCACTGCTGAGCAACCACACAAACAAACAAACTTTTT